CAAGTATTTTTGTCACGTTCTCCCTCCCTCAGACTCAATTAAGGCACGGTGAGACAAATTTGGGATGGGGATGGGGATGGGGATGGGGATGGGGATGGGGTTGGGGTGGGGCAAGGGCAGTTATTATTTTTTTTCCCATTTTTTAAAGAACAATCCATGCTTCATTTAAAAAGGATGATGATTATTTTCTTTTTGTTTGATGAAAAACTTAGCCCTTGTTTGCCCTCCATTATATAATACACACAAATCTAAAACTTTACATCACTTTTCCACCACACATTCTCCCAGCAATCACTATTCTAAAAATTTTCAACCCCCTAAAAATCTACAATAATGGGGGCCAAACAGGTTAGTGTCTGTTCTCTTTACTATTTTCAGGTCATTTTCAGTTTTCAATTTTCGAAAACACTGAAAACACGTTTACTTACCTATTTTCATAAATGAATTTTCAAAAACGAGTTTAATATTTACAAAGAAAACGGAAAATGCCAAAAAAGTTGTTTTGACAATTTTTAGTTAAAAACTGAAATACGAAGAGAACGATCCCTTAAATTTCAAATGAACTTTAAATAAGGCAGGTAGCAGGGTGAGATCATGATCCCAAACATGTCTCGCTCCTGCTTCAGGGTAACGCCCTATCCCGCACCCCCATTATCCGATTAGGCGGGTAATTACCGCTCCTTTTAGGATTGATCTCCGTGGGTATTGGATTTAACGAGTTTTTTTCCATCCCTAGACTCTGAGGACTGAGACCATATGGGACAGTACAAAGTGTAAAAGGTGATTTAACAAAAAAATCATAAGATTTTCAAGTGAAGTCAATTTTATTTTTTATGTTACTAACAAAACAATTTAATGAAACTTATATAAATTATATATTGTTGATAACATATGATTTCTGCTGGAAACTTAGGGTTCCACGTCAAAATGTCTAAACTACAAAGTGGAGAAGGCAATGATATGAGATTTTTGTGTACATGTCTCCAATTATAGCCTCTTTTAATTCGCCACACATGAACATCACGGAATTCCTCAAGCAATGACCTATTTCATCCATCTTGTTTTTACCTGAAGATCCCTGCTCCATCGAAGTCTATAATCTTCACATATAGGCTCTCTTTACCGCAAGAGATTCCACGACCTTCAGAAATCACTATTGCATAAATCTTCTACAAGCGCGAGACTCACACCACTGTTTAGATATTTTGCACACCCAAGGATTTATCTTTTATATGGCTAAGTTACTTTACTAATACGCCTGTTTGGGATCGTAGGGATCCATCTCAAAAGGTTAATAATAAGGGCAAAACAATACTTATTTGTATACGTAATTTGAATATCGTTAGTCAATTTTAGTAGATTTTCTACTTATTCCAAATGTTCTTTCATGTTAGGAACACCTTCAAGATTAGGAAAAAGAATTCAATGAAAAAGTGCAAAGATAAATGTCGCGCGTTAAAATGAGTGTGCACTTTAGAGTGCCTATATATGAAATAAGTTTTTTCTTTTTTGCTAGACTCAAGATTTTAACAATTCTCAATTTAGAGTTTATTTTATACAAAGTTATGCATATTTTTCTCCCGATTGCGGGGCTGCCTCAACACTTTTGCAAGTACATGAATCACAACGCGAATTTTGGCTCCTTTGAGCGATATTGTTAGAGAAGAAGCTTGATGAATGAGAAAAGGCGAAAGCTCGGTATTTTGGTTGCCTTATGAATATTTTTAAGATTATTAGATTGTATGGAGATCGAGCGGTCATACACTTGTGGTTAGCTCTTAATGATGAAAACCATAAAATTAGACGAGAGAAGGAGATATATTGTTATAGTTTGCGTGATATGTTCATTAATTTTCATTGTTATTCAATGCACTTTTTTATATTGCATTCCACATAGAAATATATCGTCATGAAATCTATAATTTACTCGATCACTTTATCACTTATTTGACAAGTACGCTCGTGAATTCAGAGCAATTAACCAATTATGTGTCGTATAATTTTCTTGTAAATATCTAGTTGATGTTGAATTTTTGTTTGCACGTTTCATATATAAAATTTTACAAGTTATATATATCAAAAAACCTTGGAAAAGTTTTCATTTGTAACTTTATAAAAACTTGTGATTCAATTGAAATTTTAAACCGTACTTAAAAGCATGGAACAATCTACTAAAGCCAGATGCTTTAAACAAATGCTTTTCCTCCAAATGGGAAAAGAATAGGAAGCGAAAGAGGGATCCTCTTTTTGTGTTATATATGTTTGTATTTTTTGAGAGTACTCATAAGAAAGGCGTATGTACGAGGATAAACACGATTTCCTAGTCATGGTGGGTAGAATAAAACATGTACACCGCTAATGTCCCACGTCACTGATCAAACCTACAATTTTTTATAATTCAAGTTGAATTGTCAAAAATTATAGACACTATGCTAGCGGTGTCAAAAATTTTATAAGACGAAATTTACAATGATATTAATTTCTAAACTATTATTAACGAAATTTTGGACCGAGGACCTCTTGGAGGAGGGCTTCCTACGCCCCTTTCAACCCCATGACTACTTCACCTAGAAGGCTGATTCACATACTCACAATAATTAGACACCACAATTTAGCGAATGTACATAAAGGCATTAAGCATGTGCATGCAAAGCTCTAAAGAGGTTTGAACCTCTTTATTCCTTGTCTTTGAGTTTGGAAGAAAATAGTACACAGTTCCCAATTCCCAGCACCCAACCCCACCCCTTGCCTCACTTTTGAGCTCCTCGTAGGCTGTGCTATTCCCACTGGATGCTCAGTCCCCGCTCCGTCACTTGAGTAATGTCACTTTGTCAGACGAATTTGATATTCTGGATATAGATGAAGGTATGACACTAAGTGATTAGTGATTTTTTTTTTTTTTAAACTGATCAATGACTATAACATTCTGTCAAGAAAAGTAGTAAATTTGTTTGATAATATAAAACAAGGTTGCTATCACTTATATTATGTCAAATTTAATTCTAAGTATAATAATAGCATTAATATTGTTTGTCTTACGTAGTGTATGCTTTGATATGTTTGTTCCACGTCCAAGGAAAAAAATAGACATTCTTTCTTTCTTCTCCAACATATATAAATCATGAGCTTCTTATTACTTTGAATTGATCTTAGAGATTTCAAAATATTTTATAATCTCGCTTCTTTCACAAACTTGGACGAGATTTAGATTTTAATACTTTGCATCTTTTGTATCTCATATTACAATCGTGTCTGGTGTAGTTAAAAATTAGATTTTTAGTAGATTTTTATAAAAGTTGATGAAATATATGATTGAAAAGTTGGGAATCTCATTAAATATGTGATTAAAATTAATTATTAACTTTAATTTAAATTAAATTCTCAATTTTAGTTTCCATCAAACAAACAGGATTATGTATTTTGTTGAGGATTTGGATTTGAGTAGCATGCAGGTCTCTTTTGTAGTTCGCCATCTGGGTTTATTAGCGAATTTATTTTTGTATATCCACCCTAGATAGGTCATTTGTCAAACCACATTAATTAAAAACTCAATCTTTGAACTTCTGCACAATTCCACTCTAAAACACAAACGAATATTTGAGTTTCAAGAATCAACATATCGACGTATATTAACCAACATAAAAGAGGTTTTTGGGGGAAAATAAATTGAATTAGTGATTTTTTTTAGAGAATGTGTGGTTAAAAATTAGAATTTTTTTTTTTTTTACTAATAAAATATTTTATTGTGTGAATGTGTGCTTGAAAATAAGTTTGAAAAAAAATTTAATTTAATGAGAAACAAACATGGCTTAGAGGGAGAGTGGAGGGAGAGAGAGGTGAATTGCCTTTGCCTTTGATCCGCTTGGCCCCCCATTATTTGATATTATAATTTTTGAAATAGTATTTTTCAGAGAATGAATGATTGAAAGAAAAGGCTGGACCTATTTAAGGTCGGGCTTGATGTTACAAGTACGACTTCCTTATCAATATCTCACACCTTCTAGAAACATTAATGACACTTTGACTGTAACTCTCCATAGTCTTTATCCTCATCCAAACTACTTACTTATCATAGTCCTATTCAAACTCAAACAGTGCACTTTCAATATAACATAAACACTGTGCATAATAAGGATAAGGATTACAAGTGCTTTAATCATTTTAGAACTTAAATCACAAACATCTATAAATACATTACCAAAGTTCATTACTCGGTACATTTTTACATAATTCTCAACATATAACCTTTTGCATAAATTATCTCTCCAACTTAAGGGTGTGTTTGATGGATATTATTGAGAAAAGAATTATTTTAAATAGTGATATAATGGAAATTATGTGGTTAAAAAGTAATGAAGAGTTATTGATGTGATAAAAATATTATTTTATTGAATAATGTGTGATTGAAAATGAGTTATGAAATAATGTATTTTGAAACAATGTGTGTTAAACAGGAGTTAAGTATTACATGGGTGACGAGGACACACATGAATGCCTTTATTTAAGATATTGGTACTCAAGCATCCACTTTGAAATTTAGTAGTGTAATATTATTTTATTGGAGAATATATGGTTGAAAAGAAAATGGAGGAAACTGTATTATAATTTTAAGGGTTTTGCTATTTGTATATTAAAAAATTTGTGGATGTACATATGGAGAAACTCTAATTTTAAACCTGTCAAACCCTAATTTTAATGGGGCGTAGTACCGGTGCAGTTCATCCTCCTCGTCAGACGTCAGCACATGTAGTCCACTTTCCGCTACAAATTATCAACTTTGGATTCCAAAATTTAATTGAAGAAAAAAAACTCCCCATTTCCCAGATATTTCCTTTCTTGTATGTCAAATCACAATCTTCCTTTAGACCCCAAATTCTATACGAATGCATACTGTTCAAATTCCAACAGAATTTAGCTTTCACGTTTTTTCAGGTTCCTTATTACAACCTTTTTATCTTCAAATAATTTCAATCAACATAGCCAATTGCTAGAAAAAGAGAATGAGAGCAGGAGGTTGTGCAGTGCAACAAGCTCTAACATCAGAGGCTGCCGGAACTGTAAAACAAGCGGTGGCGCTAGCTAAGCAGCGTGGTCATGCACAGGTGACGCCCCTGCATGTAGCCAACACCATGCTAGCGGCCACCACCGGTTTGCTCCGAACAGCCTGCCTTCAGTCCCATTCACACCCTCTCCGGTGCAATGCCCTCGAGCTTTGCTTCAACGTTGCGCTCAACCGCCTCCCAGCGTCTTCTAGCCCTATTTTACGCCATCATCATTCGCAATTTCCCTCAATTTCAAACGCGCTAGTTGCAGCCTTCAAGCGCGCACAAGCGCACCAGAGACGTGGCTCCATCGAAAATCAGCAGCAGCCTATTCTTTCTGTGAAAGTAGAGTTATCCCACCTCATAATTTCCATTTTGGATGATCCTAGTGTTAGTAGAGTCATGAGAGAAGCTGGTTTTTCAAGTACTCAAGTGAAAAGAAATGTAGAGAAAGCTGTTTCTTCAAGCAATAAATCCAAAGAAAATAGCCTGTTATCCCTGTCCCCATCCCCATGCCCATCACCTCCTACTAGTGATCAAACTAGAGGAAACAATAGCAAGCCAACTACATATGAATCAGTTAAAAATGAAGATATAAACGGCGTAATCAACAGTTTATTGAACAAGAAAAGAAAAAGTATTGTGATAGTCGGTGAGTATGTTTCTGATATAGAAACTGTAGTTAAAGGAGTAATGAATAGGGTTAAAAAAGGAGAAATTCCTGAGGATTTGAGGGAAGTAGAACTCAGAAGTATCCCACCTTATTCATTCTGCAATCTTCATAGAGAAGAAGTTGAAAATAAAATGACAGAATTAACCTGTCTTCTGAAGAGTACGGTGGCAAAAGGTGTTGTTTTGTATTTAGGAGACCTCAAGTGGATTCTTGATAATAGAGTTAGTTCTGGTATTTACTGTCCCGTAGAGCACATGATCATGGAGCTTGGGAGATTGGTTCATGGAATTGGAGATATGGGAAGGTTTTGGCTTATGGGAATTGCTACTTTTCAGACTTATAGGAGGTGTACAACAGGCCATAATTCACTTGAAACTGTTTGGGGTGTGCATCCTGTTACAATACCTGCAGACAGTTTGAGATTGAGTCTAATTTCTCACAGGTAAAACATTTTAGCCGTGTTCGTAACTTCTTTTCCTTCTTAATCTTGTCCAATGTTGTCTAGTTTGACTTGCCAAACATGTCATTTAAGTTATGTCCATATTTCTTGGCTATTATCTATTTGTTTGCTCTAATTGTTATTTAACATAATCAAAAACTGATTACGAATTCAATGATTTGCAGTAATTTTTGACCACCTTTTTTCTTCATCGACATTTTCAAATGTTTCTTTCAGTAATGAACAAATTGAAGAAAGAAGCAACAACGACGAAAATGGTAACTGTCAATTACTGTTTACAACTGGAGAAGAAAATCTTACTTGCAGGGCTGATTATTCAGCAAAATTCCAAATTGAAGTTCCAAACTCACAGACTAGCATTTGTAACAGTGAGCCCACATTATCAAGCTTGCCTACTTGGCTTAGGAATGGAAGTAGACGACTCAATATTGATGATCAGGTAATAATCTAATCTACCTTAATTAAATATCCTGTTCTTTTTCAGTGAGGTTGACTCTACTGTAGTGGACATAATTCATCTCAATCTCGTTCAGTATCATGTTATGCAAACACATGAATTAATACATTTTTCCTTTTTATATAATGGCTTTGATTTTCAGAACTGTGTCTCGATGGGAGAAATCTGCAGAAAATGGAATTCAAGAAGTGATACAGTCCAAAGCCAACCTTTACCATTTGGCACAACCCTAAGCTTTTCTTCTGCATCAACACAGAACCCTAACTTGCAGCTAAGCCATTTCCCATTTCTCGCATCCACGCAGCCACCGGAGAACCAGCAATGGCTATCTACTGCTCCTAATTCTTCAGCTTCTTCAAGTGACATCACGGTTATGGATCAGTACGTGCAGAAGTTTAAAGAATTCACTGCTGAAAACCTAAATATTCTATGCACTGGATTGGAGAAAAAGGTCCCAAGGCAGAAAGAAATTATTCCTGAAATTTCTTCAGCTATATTACAATGCAGGTCTGGAATGTTAAGAAGAAAAGACAAAAAACAAGAGACATGGTTATACTTCCAAGGCCTTGATGCACATGCTAAACAGGAAATTGCAAGGGAATTGGCTAAAATAATTTTCGGTTCGTATTCAAACTTCACATCAGTTAATTTACTGAGCTGTTTTTCATCATCAACAAGGGAAGATTCAATTCAAAGACTTACTCAAGAAGTGACTATTAATCCTCATCGCGTATTTTTCGTGCAACATATGGAGCATGCGGATTATTGTTCTAAAACCGGCATAAAAATGGCAATTGAAAGGGGAAGAATGAGAAATGCAAATGGTGAAGAAGTTAGTCTTTATGATGCCATTATCATATTGAGCTCTGACAGCATCAGTTCAAGAACATGTTCTTTCTCTACAAAGCAAAAGTCTGGTGAATCAATGCACAAAAAAGGTTGGGTTTCATTGGATTTGAATATTTGTTTTGATGATCATGATAGTACTGTTTGTGTTGAAGATCAGTCCATTGATCATGATGTATGGCTTCTTGAAAATGTTGATAGATGCATAGTCTTTAATAATCAACAAGTGTAGGACACAGAAGTATATATTTGTTTTTCAATTAACATTTTAGGTTTCATTCTTGTAAAGAGAGACCCCATTAGATTTTCCTTTATCAAGGTCATTTTTCACTTCTATTTGTTCTTTCTTTTTGTTTTTGTTCGAGATGAACTGCACCACCAAGCTCGAGCTCTTAAAGAACGATCAAATTTAATTATTTCAATATTCTCTTTGACAAACATCACATGCAGGCCAAATTCGATTTTTATCAAAGGTCTAACAATGAGATTTTGATTTTCCTTTTCTAATGAAAAGGAAAAATTTGTCACTAACCCATGCTGATTTTGTTGAGGGAAACAATTCCCATAATGTACTAAGTAACTTCAAAGTAAATTTGACTTACTTTTAAATGTAACTAATTACATCGTTTTCTTGTTCGATGAGAGAGTCTTGTCGGGCATCTTGAGTCTAGACCAAGGGCAAGTTTCTCTAATTTTTTAGTTGAATGGTCCAATTTTTCTGGATTAGGATGTACAAATTACTAAATACTTACAATGAAAAAATTAGCAAGAATTTGGAACAAAGTGTTGGAGCAGCAAACCCATATTTAAAGTTCTTGTTTGGCTAGTTACATATACCTGTTAAGAAATGTATAATAATACAGAGAAGCTAAAAAGAAAAGAAAAGAAAAGATAAAGAAATAGAACAATTAAAAGTAAAAGAATTATTCTCTCTTTTGATTAATGTACTAGTTAGGCCATAAAAGAGTTAATTATTTATTAATTTAAAAGGAAATTAGGGATCACACAAAAAAATTTAAAATTTCACCACTGTTAGTTATATGTTTTTATAAATGTGGAGATATGAAAATATCATGTACAATTCAAGAACGAAGAAGGTCGTAAGGTTATGAGTGTGATCTCAATCTAAAAGAAACTATGTGGAACTCCAAAATTGGACATTAAAGAGTTAAAAAAAAATCTTTTGTACGGTACTAAGATATACCGAGTCGTAACTTATGTAATACTATAGAAAGTTAAAAGGGACTTTTTGAGTACCTCCTACAAGATGTCGCTTTTCATATTGGATAAAAGTCTAGTAGTATATTTCGATTGATTACGTAGCGAAGATCAAACAAATTTCATCCCCATTTTATGTGTTTGTTTCATAAAGCTATTTTTTACTAAAAAGTCTCGTCAATTTGATTAAACTTCATGTTTAACTGCATTTCATTTCAACAAATATTTATTCACTTTTTAATCACACGTTTCGAGAAATCCACCGACTGCTGTCAACTTTATTTGTTAAAAGTCTACATCAACCCACAGCAATTTCAGCTTGAAATTTCCTTCGTTTAGTGGTCAATTAAGGTTGGAAGCCCATGATAAAAATAATTGTTTCATTAAGCAACGTAAATAAAGTAAAATTGATATAATTATAATATATTGTTGCCCAAAGGAGGCGAAACTTTTTTTTGCTTTGAAAGTTGTGGGAAAAAAAAGCAAAAAACTTCCCTAAGAAATGTAAAAGAGCACTACTTTTCATGCTTTTTGATGTGTTTTGCAAAAGAATCACTTTTTCTTCTTTGATTTTTGAAACCAAACATTCTTATCTCTAGAAAGCAATAAAGTTGAAGAATAAGGATTCGAGATTATATTATTGACTCAATAATTAAGGAAAAGTAAAACTAAAATAATGAGAAAACATGGATAAAGAATCTACCTTTAAACCTTAATAAAGAAGACCTTTTTTTTACTTTAGAATAAGCAAAAGTTGATTAGCTTCATTACTTTAATTAAACCTCTAAGCATAAGTAGGGAATTTGTCCCTTTGGGCTTTTGAAAAGATTAGGAGATGAATGATGTTGTGCATATTATAAAGGAAGCCACGAGGGGGCTTCGGTTAAAAATAAGGGTCGAATTATGTACAATTGTGATAATTCTCTTTCGAATGATCGTATAACATTGTTATGGTCCACGTGTGTTCATCACAACCCTACTCGTGTGATGACCTCCTTCGTGTATCTCCTTTTAGTAAAAAATATTCCATGCTCCGTCTAAACCCACATCATCTCTATTGGCGTCGACCTGCATTATTACGTTGACATTACTACCTCGAGAGTTCGTCGTCATCAAGGAATCTCTCATCATTTTAATTAAAGGTGATCCACTCGATCAAGCAAACCCTTTTTACGCGTCCAAAACTTCACATTTTAATTAAAGGTGATCCACTCCTTCAAGCAAACCCTTTTTACGCGTCCAAAACTTCATTTCGTTCGTTGACCTGTCGGTTTCTTTCTTGCAAATAGAATTTTAAATTAGTTATCTAGTCACAATGAGTAAAAAGAAAAAGAAAAAAAAAAGATAAGATAAAAAGGGCCTTTTCTTCTCCACCAAAACCTTAATATTATGTATATCATAAAATATTGTTGCATTATTAATAGCTCTGTGATGGTTCTCTCAAAAGGGAGGAAATGTAAAGAGCCCGAAATGGGAAATTTTTACCCACTTATAGTGAAGAATTAAATCTCAAAATTTCAATTCTTTCCTACGATATAAAAAAGGGTTATTCTCCAAGTACAGGGGGTGTTTTCACAGGGGCCTTACCGGCCCCTCACTGTAGCTGACCCCACCCCAATGAATAAAAAAAAAACTGAGGCTCTCCCGCCAATGTGAGGTGCCTGGCAGGGGCCTGTGAAAAGGCCCCTATACTAGTAGGCAGTAGCACCTCTCAAAAATTTATACATTTTTTGCAGTTATCAAATGAAATGTTAGAATGGGAAATCAAAATGTAGTTTTCGGTGATTTCGTGGCCGTCGACTTGTGCTTCTGGATTTGAGGGTACAAGAAGAGGGACGTTTCCGATCTTTTTTAACATCATCCATTGGTTTTAAGATAAAAAAAACTAATAAACGAGTGAGATAAACTATAAATATTGGGAACTTGTAAGGATCTATCCAACAAGAAATCGTGATTTAATTTATAGACATGTGAAGGCATTTGGAATCTAATTTCCCTCAAAAGCAAGAAGATGCTCCATCATGACTAGTTGATTTTGATGCAAGTGAGGAAAGTGGACGGCCCTTTTGATACAAAGTCCTTCCCTTTTTCACACCTCCTGTATTATAAATAAAATAGCACTTTCAATCACTCAACTTTACGGAATGTTCGGCACTTGGTATTAAATTAGTCTGGACGGCAAAGTAGGCAGAATTTTAACTTCTTTTTCTTATGTCTAGAATTTTATATTTCGCTTAACTAAACAAATCATTCATGATTTTATGAACAATTTGCATGAGCATGACATGATATTTCATAGCTTAAGTGCTTAATCATCAACAAGTAAAAGAATACAGGCGTATCATGATTGGTATGTACAGGAAAAACATCTTTTCCAATGAGTGTCATTTATATGTATAAAATATGCATCTCTTCATCAATTCTTAGATTCCAAGTATGAGACTTCTTTAGATGAGGCTACAGGGCTATTGGTCATCGATCCACACCCATCAATTCTTTTCCTTTTACCACTGCCTTTTTCAGTCGTATTGGTCACGAGGTATATTTGAACAGAATAATGACATTTTATAGACTCTTTTGGAGATGTTCTTCCACGTTTTGGAGATCAACCATAAGCTCGTCAGACTCGGTATTTCGATGCTCATGTAGTATTCTACCAAAAATAGCATACTTCTCCAATAGAGAGTCAAGTCTGAAATCCAATCTTAGATTCCAAGTGCTTGGCAATATTCAAGTTACCAATCATGCCCAAAACATGATATCCTTGACCGGGTCATGGGCGGCCGGACCGGGGGTTACCCGCGAGTGGTAATGGCACAACCAGAAGAGGAGTAGGGGAGACAAGGTTACGCGCTGGGTAGCGCAGCGCATCTGTTTCGGGTACAGAGGCGACGAGGGGTGCTAACCCGGCCACCNAATCCGGTCTTGGATCCGTCCCTAAATATATTCCATAATTATTAGTACCTAATGCAAACCTATCGGAATTCTCTTTAGAAAAACAATTGTAGAAGGTGGCAAAGCTCGGATTTCGCCGCTGATTTCAATCAAATAACTCGTATCTTCAACGAATTAGCATCGCTTCTTTGGTTATCAACGTAAAAAAGAGTCTCTTTAGAAGGTTCGCTATGGACATCAATTTGTGTGTGTAACATCCATCAAGATATCCTAACATTGAAATCCAAATACGGTCATTTTTCAGATAATCAAACACTTGAATATCTAATTTGGACAATCCTCCAATTGGATCAAATTTCAATAATAGATTGACGGTTACCTTCCTTTAAGGACCTCGTTGCATGGCCTGTACGAGACAAGCGAATTATTTACATATTAGAAAAGAGATAGCCCGCCCTACTCAATATTTTGGTTTTATGGGATTTATTTTAATAATTATCCAATTAATGTGGATACTCATCTAAATAAAATTCAATACAAAATTAGATTTAATTTATGAGCACAAATCCACATGAAATTACAGTTGCATGGACGAGTCACTTAATTTTATATGCATGCCATTTAGATGTGACTTCAAATTTGACGATCAATTTATGGCACATTTGTTGAAGATGAAATCAATTAAGTGGTAATTACACAAAACCACACTTTAAGTATTAAACCTTCTAAAATCAAATTGGAAGTTTAATATTTCCAAAATCAGATATTTTTAATTAGATACAAATTATAATTATATAATTAAATATTAATTATAAACTAGTCATCCCAATTAATATCATCTAAAAACAAACCTGAATACATTTCTCTCTCTCTACCGCACCTATTCACTCCCACTGTGCCGCCATCAGCCGAGATGCGTCGCCAACCGGAGGGGACATCTCTGGCAACCGATGACGAAGGCAGATGCCGTTGAGAACGGAGATGCTATAGTCCGTCTTCTTCCCCTCCAAACTGAGCTCACTTCTTTCCTAATCGCCTATCATTACGATGTTGAACACGTAATCGATTTTGAAATTGAAATCCCCTCTGTGGATCCGGCGATTGGGGTGGATCTGGCATGGGTTTGGTTTGGTGCGGTTGTGGTGGATCTGGCATGGGTTTGGTTTGGTGTGGTGTTTTAAGTGGCGGTGGCTATGGATGTGATTCCGGCGGTGTGGTGTTTTGTAGTGAAAATGGTGATTTTGTTGGTGGTTTTGTTGGTGAGGAGGAGGACAATCTGATAGATTTTGTTCTATTGATGAGAAGAAAAACAGGAGAATTTTGCACCAACCATTGTTTCCAGCAAGTTCAGCACCTCGACCTCAATCAGTTGTCACTCAACCATCCAAGCCAGCAAAGAAAGTGGCAATTGCAATATCAGTTGGGATTGTCACTTTGGTAATGTTTTCAGCACTAGCATTCTATCTCTACAAACACAGAGTGAAACATCCTGATGTTTCGCAAAAGCTTGTTAGTGGTAATTCATCTGGTGGTTTTGAGATCCCTCTTTTTTTCATTCAACGCAGCGAGGTTGAATTGGTCTGGGATGCAAATGGTTGGTTTGGAGTTTGGTGAATATGATGATGTTAAAACGAGGATGAAAGTTGTAGAAGAATGGTAGAATTGTGTGTATGTT